ATGCCCGGAGCCAACTTTAGGCCACTTCGTGCTCTTCGTGTCTCCAGAGCATTCCCAGGCCACATTTTGAATGCCCGGAGCCAACTGTAAGCCACTTCGTGCTCTTCGTGTTCCCAGAGCACCATTCCCAGGCCACATTTTGAATGCCTGGAGCCAACTGTAGGCCACTTCGTGTTCTTCGTGTTCCCAGAACACAATTCCCAGGTCACATTTTGAATGCCCGGAGCCAACTGTAGGCCACTTCGTGTTCTTCGTGTTCCCAGAACACCATTCCTGTACCATATTTTGATTGCCTGGAGCCAACTGTGGGCCACTTCGTGATCTTCGTGTTCCCAGAACAGCAGTCCTGTGCCATATTTTGAATGCCCGAGCTGAGGCAGGCTGAGGTTGTGGCAGGCTGAGGCCGAGGCAGGCTGAGGCTGAGGCTGAGGCACGCCGAGGCAGGCTGAGGCTGAGGCTGAGGCAGGCTGAGGCTGAGGCTGAGGCTGAGGCTGAGGCTGAGGCTGAGGCTGACGCAGGCTGAGGCCGAGGCAGGCTGAGGCTGAGGCTGAGACTGAGGCTGAGGCTGAGGCAGGCTGAGGCAGGCTGAGACTGAGGCTGAGGCAGGCTGAGGCTGAGGCTGAGGCTGAGGCAGGCTGAGGCTGAGAGGCTGAGAGGCTGAGGCCGAGGCAGGTTGACGCTGACGCTGAGGCTGAGGCCGAGGCAGGCTGAGGCTGAGGCTGAGGCAAGCCGAGGCAGGCTGAGGCTGAGGCTCAGGCTGAGGCTGAAGCTGAGGCTGAGGCTGAGGCTGTGGCTGAGGCTGAGGCAAGCTGCGGCTGAGGCAGGTCGGCTGAGGCTGATGCAGGCTGAGGCCGAGGCAGGCTGAGGCTGAGGCTGAGGCAGGCTGAGGCTGAGGCTGAGGCCGTGCAGGCTGAGGCTGAGGCTGAGGCCGAGGCAAGCCGAGGCAGGCTGAGGCTGAGGCTGAGGCTGATGCTGAGGCAGGCTGAGGCTGAGACAGGCTGAGGCTGAGGCTGAGGCAGGCTGAGGCTGAGGCAGGCTGAGGCTGAGGCCGAGGCAGGCTCAGGCCGAGACAGGCTGAGGCTGAGACTGAGACTGAGGATGAGGATGAGGCCGAGGCAGGCCGAAGCTGAGACAAGGTGAGGCTGAATGGGGGGGGGAAGGGGGAGGGGGAGGGGAGGCTGAGGCAGGCTGAGGCCGAGGCAGGCTGAGGCCGAGGCAGGCTGAGGCTGAGGCTGAGGCAAGCCGAGGCAGGCTGAGGCTGAGGCTGAGGCTGAGGCTGAGGCAGGCTGAGGCTGAGGCAGGCTGAGGCTGAGGCAGGCTGATGCTGAGGCTGACGCAGGCTGAGGCCGAGGCAGGCTGAGGCTGAGGCTGAGGCGAGGCTGAGGCCGCAGGCTGAGGCTGAGGCTGAGGCAGGCTGAGGCTGAGGCAAGCCGAGGCAGGCTGAGGCTGAGGCTGAAACTGAGGCAGGCTGAGGCATCCGCATGAATCCATAGGAATTCTTAGGAATCCCTAGACATCCCTAGGAATCCGTAGGCATCCTTAGGAATCCGTAGGCATACATAAGCATCCTCAGTAGGATTCCTCAGGAATCCTTAAGGAATCCCTAGGAATCCTTAGGAATCCCTAGGAATCAGGATTCCTAAGGATTCCTAAGGTTTCCTAAGGATTCCTAATGGATTCCTAAGGATGCCTAAGGATGCCTTAGGAATCCCTAGGAATCCTTGGGATTCCATTGGATCCTAAGGCCGTTGCCACTGCGACTGTCATTGCGAATGCGACTGCGACTGCGAGAACAGCAGAATTCTACAACTGGATTCTCACCTGAATCTCAAGGGGAATCCTTCCAGATATGCTTATACACATCGCTGTTAGGTTGCTTTGCCGGGATCATGCGAATATGCGCGGCGCTAAGGCGAGATCCACATTTTGAAAACGACCCGCTCTCAATCCGTGAAACTCTTGCACTTTGTTTAACGAATGTGCGCGGCGCTGAGGCGAGAGCCACATTTTGAAAACGACCCGCCTTCAATCCGTGAAGCTCTTGCAAATATGTATTACGAATGTGCGCGGCGCTGAGGCGAGAGCCACATTTTTAAAACGACCCGCCCTCCATTTGTGAAGCTATTGTTTTTTTTTCAGCTTCCGAGTCATGAATGGTGAGGAAGTCTCAGGCGAAACGCTCAGCCCGCCCTAAAAACTGGCTTCGGAGTGCGACAGGGAGAAATTATTCATGAGGAAATGGAAAGGAGGAGGAGGAGGAGGAGGAGGAGGAGGAGGAGGAGGAGGAGGAGGAGGATGAGGAGGAGGAGGAGGAAGACGAGGAGGAGGAGAGGATAATGGAGGAGGAAGAGGAGAATGAGAGGATGAGAGGATGATGATGTTGATTGATGATGATGATGATGATGATGATGATGATGATGATGATGATGATATGATGATGATGATGGTGATGGTGATGGTGATGGTGATGATGATTGATTGATGATGATGAATGATTATGCGATGCTGATGCTGATGCGATGATGATGATGATGATGATGTGATGATGATGATGATGATGATGATGATTGAGGATAGGAGGAGGAGGAGGAGGAGGAGGAGGAGGGGAGGAGGAGGAGGAGGAGGAGGAGGGAGGAGGGAGGAACCTAGACATGCTCGCGTTGTTCAAAAGAAATCAGGACGGGAAGTTTTTCGCCGTTTTCGGCCTCTGGATTTCGCCGTTTTCGGCCTCTGGAGGCCCTGGCCAGGCCCTGGGGCTGTCAAACAACGATTCCGGATAAGCCATCGGTCCCAGGCTGACTCAGGGAAAGGGCAGGGACTCCCAGGGACAGCGCAGCGAACAAAAGCCAGGACGTCGCAGATGGAGGAAAGGAGGAATGGCAACCGGGGGGGGTGAAAGAGGGAAGAGGAGGTTCGGCGCCCATAAGGGGAGGAGTTAAGGGGAGAGAGGAGGAACACCAGGGCGGGGTACTTATCCGAGGAGAGCTTTTGCTCTCCGCCCGAGGCTGCGATCCACCCCGGGCGGGCCCTGCCGGCAGGGCGCCGGGCCCCCCCCAACGTCACCCGAGATCTTTCTCGGGCTGGGCGTCGCGCCGTGCACGCGCCTCCGCCCTGGCCTCCAGGGCTTGAGCAACGAAGCGCTCAGCTTCGCTGCGCTCAGCGAAGCCACGTGCACGGAGAAGCACCGCCGAGTCCACTCGCGGCGGCGGGCCCTGCTGCAGGAAGGGGGTCCTTCCCCTCGAGGCTGGCTCGCCAGCGGCGTCCTCCCCGAGGTGGCCCGCCCATCGGGCCCGAGGCGACCACGTCGGAGGGCGACCATCCCCCAGGGCCACCTCGGGGCGAGTCGGGCGTGAGGCAGAACAGCACCGAGAGGTATAACTGCGGCCTGACTTCCATTGCCTTGTTAGCCAGTGCATCGTGCAACGCGTTGCCCTCGCGTTCAGCCCCGTTCCCCCTCTAGCGGTCGCAGTCGGACGACATGTGTTGCGTGCATCACTGCGCTCGTCTTTCATGCGAGGATCGCTTCCCGTGCGTAGCATGCCGCGCAGGGCCTTTTGGAAGTTGTGCGACTCGCTTTGCGGTCGTTCCGCGCGGTGCAGTCGTGGGAAAGCACTCCTGGATGTTGCACTGGCGCCGGGGGGCTGCCGCGCTTGGCTGTTTTTGCGTGTGTCGATTGCCGTCTGACCAGAATCAGCTTCAACAAAGAGCTCCTTCCTGCCTCCTTCTTCTTCCTCGATCTTCTTCTGCCTCTTCCTATCTGCGTTTTCTCTCCCCGGCCCCCCTTGCCCGAGCGTTCGAAGTTCGAGGATCGATGTTTGAGGGGTTTTGGCCTTTGGGGGCCCTCGTCGTCACCGCTCCTGGGCGCAGCTCGAACAGCTGGTGCGTTTGGTCCGCGGGAGGGTTCCAGGGACTTTTATAGATGGTGAGGAAAATGGCTAGTCAGGTGGGCAACTTTTTGCTTTGGTATGAAGGCTCATGCGTGATATCTCGCAGAAAAGCACATGCCGATCTGAAACGACAGATGGTTTTCATCGCTTCGGCTTACGGACGGGCCCGGAGGCTCGGCGGAGGAGTCTTCGGGGCGCCTGGGGCTTGGGGTAGGGGGGTTTCATCGAGGCGCCCAGGGGCCTTGCGGGTCTTCTTGGGGCTCTTTTGCGCCGTCTGGGGGGATTTTCGTGGTCCGTCCAGAGGACATCTTGGACCGTCTTCAAGGTCGCCCAGGGCCGTCTTGGAGGCATCTTGGGCCATCTTGCCTTCGAAGGCGCGGACCCATAACTTGTAACAAGGGATCGTGGCCTCGGGAGCGCGGCTCCCTTGCTTCCTAAGAGGAGCAGGGCCGTCGGGAGGGGGGGTCGACTGCGGCGGCATGCTGCTCAGGGGCGAGGGGTTGTGGGAATCGTGCAGAAACCGTACTAGACAGTGGACTGGCATTTCATCGCGCCGGTGCGGCGCAAACGCGGCGGCGGATATGGGGTGGACACAACGTGTCGCACGCGCGGGGTAGCTCTGGAGATCGCCAGCTTTCTGCTCAAGAGTAGTCGAAACGCTTGGAGAGTTTCGGCCAACGCCTTCCCGAGCCTTTCGGTTTGTAATTGTATTTTTTGCAGTCAGATTTGTTACAGGTATACGTCGGATAATTGGTGTCCGTAGGGTGCCTCGAGCTCCTCAATCGGTTTCTCGCGGTCAAGGCCTTGCCCCCCGAGAGGCGTTCAACACCGAGGCGCAAACCTTGAGTCCACGCCTGCCTGGAAATGCAGCGTATTGCCCGCACGAGCGACACAAAAGCACAGGTTTCGGTTTGCCATCTTCCGCTTGCGCTTCTAGCAACTGGTGGTAGAAACCGCCAGAAGGTGCCGAAAGTCTCTTCGTTGTCATCCTCCTGTTCCTCGCTGTCCTCCCCCTCCTTTCCCGTTCCCCTCCCCTCGTCGTCCTCCTCGTCGTCGTCGTCGTCGTCCTCCTCCTCCTCCTCCTCGTTCTCCACGTCCTTCCCGTCATCTTCCTGTCGTCGTCGTCGTCTTCCTCTTCCTCCCCGTTCTCCTGCTCCTCCTCCTCCTCCTCCTCCTTCTCCTCGTCCTTCTCCTCCTCCTCCTCCTCCTGCTCCTCCTCCTCCTCCTCTGTCCTCGTCCTTGTCCTCCTCCTCCTCCTCCTCCTCCTCCTCCTCCTCCTCTCCCTTCTCCTCTTCCTCCTTCTCCTCCTCCTCCTCCTTCTCCTCCTCCTCCCTCCTCGTCCTCCTCCTCCTCCTCCTCCTCTTCACTCCCTCCCCTCCTCCTCCCTCCTCCTCCTTCCTTTTTCCTCCTCCCGTCTTCCTCCTCCTCCTCCTCCTCCTCCTCGCTCCCTCTTCCTTCCTCTCCTCCTCCCCTTCTCCTCTCCTCTTCCTTCTCCTCCTCCTCCTCCTTTTCCTTCTCCCCTTCCTCCTCCTCTTTCTCCTCCTCCTCCTCCTCTTCCTCCTGCTCCTTCTCCTTGTCTTCCTCCTCCTCCTCCTCCTCCTCCTTCTCCTCTTCCTCCTCCTCCTCATCCTCGTTTTCCTCCTCATCGTTCTCCTCGTCCTCCTCTTCCTCCTCCTTCTCCTCCTTCTCCTCCTGCTCCTCCTCCTCCTCCTCCTTGCCCCCCCCGCTTCCAGGAGGCCGCGGAGCGGGAGCGGCGGCGGAGGGAGGCCCGGGAAAGCGGCACCGAGGCGCGGAGTGTGCTGGGGGCTGTCGTCGTCGTCGTCGTCGTCGTCGTCGTCGTCGTCGTCGTCGTCGTCGTCGTCGCGCTGCTGCCGATGCCGCTGCTGCTGCTGGCCTCCTTTGCCCTCGCTCGCCCCGCGGGGCCTGAACGGCCTGGGCCCTCTCCGCCAGGAGCGGGCACGCCTGGCGCGTCAGCAGCCCCTCCTGCAAGCAACTTGGGGCGGCGGAGCGAAGACGCCAGCGGTCGTTGTGGAAACCCTGGGGAGAACACGCCGGAGAAGAGAGGGAGGGAGGGATGGGGGGAGTCGGCTACACGTGAGAGTGACCCCTCGCCGGGGTGACCTCTGGTGCGGGCCCACTGGGGCCCCTCGATCGCCGAGCGCGATGCGGTAATGGCGTCTTGCGCGCTTGGGTTTGGCCCCCCCCCCCCCCCCCATCCCCCGCCCCCGCCCCCCCGGCTCCCCGAAAGCCGCGCACCAAAGGTCACTCTTGCCTGGGGGCACTCTCGCGTGTGTCCGAGGGCGGGCAGGGCCGCGCGGGCGCAGCAACGCGCAGCGGGGGGGGGGCCGCAGCACGCCAGGCGATGCAGCGACGCAGCGACCCCGCCGCCCACGGGAGGCATCCCGCGAGGGACCGCGATGCCTGCGGCGAGGGGGCTCGATGGGGGGCGGTGGCGCTCGAGGGTCAGGGTGCCTCCCCTCTGCTCGATGTGCAGCCCGCCTCCGGCGCAGCGCGGGGGTTCTGGAAGCAAGCGCCCCCTCCCCGGGCAAACCCGTCATCCACAATCGTCGGATCCGCCTGCAGTGGCCCGGGGGGTGGTGTCCCAAGGGTCGGAGGGGGATGAGGCTGTTTCGCCCAGGAGCACAACTGTTTTTCCTCACTGTATCTGCCCTGGATGCGCATCGATTTGATTTGACTTGCATGCTATGCATTCCAACGCGCTGCGGGATGATCTCTTCCCTTCTTCTGCCCCGCGACGTACGAAGGATTGCACAAAAAAAACACCCTTTTGCAATCCTTCGTACAGGTTTTTTTGCAATCTTAGTTTTTTTTTTTTTTGTTGCAATCCTAGGTTTTTTCGCAATCCTTTGTTCTCAGCGCAACTATCGGACCCCAGTGCACGACGTGACGAGGATGAGGACGGCGGCCCGGGCTTCTGCGGCCAGTCCCAATGGTGCTGCCGTCTGCCAGTCTGCCTCTAGATCGCCCCGTGGTCGACAACGCTCGCGGACAGCAGGGGCAACGGCAAAGAGGGGTGGGGGACTGGCCCTGGGCGGGCCGGGGGGCATCGGCCCCCAGTCGCCATTCCTCGCCAATCGAGGCCCACGCGCTCCTCAGCCTGCCCAGGAATGTGCGGTCCTCGCAGCAGGGGTTTATCGCGGATCTATTTATCGGCGAGGTATCGCCGATTCCAAGGAGAGCAATTCCCCCCCCCCCCCCCTGGGCCAGTCCCGCCCTGTCGTTCCCCCTCGGAGGAGGGACGAATGGAGGACGGAGGAGGCACGCGGGGAGAAGGGGAACAAAAAAACAACACTTTCTGTACCATCGGCGACGGCCCAACCGAAGGAGGACGGGGACGCATCGTGCCGACCCGTGCTGGGCAAGTAAAACTGCTGTTTTGGCTAGGGGGGACCTTTTTGGCTTGGCAGGTCTGAGATTCCCTGGAGGTGTACCCGAGGACCCCTCTGGAGCCCGCCTAGCCCTGACCCTCTCTTACCAGTACCTCGCCTACTTCCCCCTCTGAGTGCACCTGCCTCTGCCCTCTCGCCCGCTGCTCGCTGCCCGCTGCCCGTCTCGGCCCGCAAGGCCGGCCTTTAGAGCTTGTTGTACTGGGCGCCTGGCGCCCCCGCAGATAGCTCGTGGCCCGCGCGGGGCCGTGGATGAGATAAACAGGTTTATCATCAGCATCTACCATACGCTTTCAGACTGGTATTGCGGAGCGCGTGGTTCCGAAATTGTGGACGTGGCCGAACGTTCACCAGGACCAACGTAGAGCCCAAGAATAGCAAGAGCAGCGAGATGAACGATCAAGGAGCTGGACGATCGTACTACCGTGATGATGAGATAGTTGTGGATAGAGATGGGCTGCCTCACTACACCGGCCATAATCCTGACTTGCTCAAGGAGTATAAGAAGAGAGTCACCCTGGCGCTGGCGCGATTGGAAGGTAGTGGAGATGACGAAGAAGCAATCGCGCAAAGCCTCGAGAAGAAGAAACGCAGATTCAGGGTAAAGTTGCTCGACGGACTACATGGACGAGCATGGCGACGAGCAGAGCACCTCGCACAGGAGACCGCAGAAGTACGTGCGGACGGCGGTGAGAGACGGATCTTCGAGGCGCTGGCGACGCTCGACAAGGAGGCCATCGTCAAGAAGGGCATGGCGTTCGATAATTTCTTCAAGCGGAGTTTCCGGAAGCGAGGCACTGATATGGGCGAGTACCTCTCGAACAAAGAGAAGCTGTGGGAGGACTTGCAGGAGCGCGACGAGAACACCACGCTTTCGGACGATTTGATGGCATACTTTCTGCTGGACGGCGCGAACCTCACGGACGAGCAGAAGCGCAACATCGTTCTCAACAGCAACTCGGAGTACAACCTGGAGATGTTCCAGCATACGTTGAGGGTCAACTTCCACGACCTGCACGAGAAGGAGAGACGGAGCGCGCCGGCCAACACACACAAGCAGAAGTGGCAGAACCGGCGCGGAGGCAAGGCGAATCAGGTCGAGGACAACAACAGCGGCGACGAGGACGACATTACGGATGAGGAGTTCGAAGAGGGCGCCAACGCGGCAGATGACGACCATGAGTTTGCGAGCGACGCCGGAGCCAGCAACGACGACGACGTGTTCGAGGCCTACAGCGCCTACGACGCGGCAAGGAAGAAGCTGAAGGACACGCAGAAGCAGCGCGGATTCTTCAAGGGCGAGGTGACCTTCGAGGAGCGTCAGGAGCAGATCATGGAGGAAAAGAAGCGCACGCGCTGCGGAGCGTGCGGTCGCATCGGACACTGGGCAGGAGATGCCGTGTGCCCGAAGACAGGTAAGCAAGGCGACAAGAAGTTCGGTGGAGGACGAGGCGGAGGCCGCGGGAGCGGCAAGCCCAAGGCTAAGCCTGGGCGCGGAGGCAAGTCGTACTTCACGCTCGATGGCACCACAGACGATGATGAACTGATGGAAGAGGCGACCTCCTTCATGGCGCGCGGCGACGACGTCTCGCGCGACCCCGACGGGACGGTCGAGGGGCAGGACTCGTTCTACACGGACTCGGAGGAGGAGATAGACAACGAGCGCGAGGACGACAGCCACCACAGCAGGGACTACGACAAGGACAGGAAGAAGTCGGCAGGAGCGGCAAGCAGTGGAGAGGCGGCCCCAAGGCCGTCGGCAGCACCGAAGGACATCCCGACCACGCCAGATTTCAGGGCCTGGAAGCAGTACGAGCTCAAGAGTCACCTCAGCGAGCTCGGGCTCCAGACCAACGGCAAGAAGGAGATCCTGATCGAGAGGCTCGAGGGGCACTACTCGGGCAAGGCGCAGGTCAAGAAGGGGTGCAGTGTTTCGAGGACCGCAGCAGCGTTCTCGGACGGGACTTCGACGAGAGCACCGGGCGAGAACATCAAGTGCGCGGACTGCGGCAAGTACGGACATCATGGAGGAGACAAGCTTTGCCCGCTCTACGCCGAGATGAAGGCCTACCAGCAGGCGAAGCAGCGCCAGGATCTGGAGAAGGTCGCAGAGGTCCCGCTGACCAAGCCGAACATCTCGAAGCAGCAGACGGAGATTGGCGCCAAGTCACTGGGCGCAAGGCCAAAGGCAGCAGCTACGTCATCAAGAGCGTCCACATCCTGGGAGTTTGTGAACGACGACAACACGTTCATCGAGCAGCTGACCTGTCCGAAGTGCCGCCGCCAGGGCATGCAAGTGAAGAGCAACAACCTGGACGGCAACAAGTTCTACGGATGCCTGAACTTCAACACCATCATGCGGTGCAAGGGCACGATCAACTGGACGACTGGTCAGCAGATGCTACGCGACGGCGGTCCTTCGGGCCGTTCGTTTCGACGCTAAGCAAGGGCAAGACCGTGGAGGGGGCTCGACGTCCCTCAGTCAAGGACGCATAAGCCGTCTTGAGGAGCCTCTTAGGTCAAGGACGTGGGCAGCCATTTTGGCATCGCCCGACGAGCTCGCCGCCGTGCAGCTCGACCCGCAGAGCCTCGCCCCGTTCAATGCCAGGGGCCAGGTTAGCGGTAGCAGGCTGGGACACTCACAGTTCGCCTTCGCCGTGGGGCGCACTGACTGCAACACAATTAATTACGACGTGGTGGCCCTCGTGGACACCGCCTGTACCCTTTGTATGCACAGCAAGAGCTGGAGGGAGAGGTTTGAGAAGCACTTACCCCCCGACCTTACCTGCAGGAGGACGGACATCCAGCGGAAGTTCACCTTCGCGAACGGCTCCAAGCAGCAGGGTGACGTCTACGTGATCCCGATTGGCATTGGAGGATTCAGAGGAGAGGCGCATTCGACCGAGATCCCGACAGGGACGACTCCACTGTTGATCTCCATACCTGCCCTGGACATGCTAGACGGCCACATTCACATGAAGTCAAAGAAATTGGAGCTTTCGGCATTGGGAATCACAGTACCTCTGATCAAGATGAAGAATACGACACACCTGGGTATCGATGTATCGCAGTTTGGAGATGACCAGGATTCGGTACTACAGCGCATGGAGCTCAAGTCATCCCGGGGCGACGCGATCGTGCACCTCGCGACGTGCATGGACGTGGTCAGGGGCGGCTATGCCTATCTGGAGAATGACGATTGCGACGATGAGGAGACTTGCGACACTGTCAAGATAGATGCAATCCGTCGTCAGGACGCGAGCTCGAACGACGGGACTGGCCAGAAGTTGGAGATATCCCTGGCAGCGAGAGGTGTGCGCAAGTCAGATACGAGAGGCGAGCTCACCAATCGAAGAGCACAGGAGTTGTCAACTACAGCT